AATTATGAGTCTGAAAAAAAGCAGACTCATCCTTTGCCAACGGATAAAGTGGGAAAAGGTATGGGGCCGGGGGGGAGGGTGTAGTTAAAAGATTAAGAAAATAATACCTGTGGGAAAGAGCTAAGGAACTGGGCAGATTCAGTCAAAAAAAAAAAAAAAAAAGCTGAGGAGGGAGGAATCTGTCTGCATGAGTCTAAGAGATGCTATACAGAAGACGTGAGCCAATTATTTTCTGTTAAGAAGAACAGAGGAGTAGTAACATGCATGAAACAAACAATGGGAAAGTTCAGGTTGACATGTTTCCTGAAACCTGTCACATCTGCGCAGCAGGACAAGCCACCAGCAAAAGCAGTAGAACTACCTCTTGTGGAGAAGGGACTCGTGTCTCTCTGGATTTTGCTGTTTGTCCTCATTAGCCCAATAAAAAATAACACAAGGAGCAAACCACAGCAAAGGAGAAGAGCTAACTGAACTGTAACCTCAACTGTTTCATAGTAACTAAACTGTAACTGTACTGTTTTATATAAGAAAAAATGTATCCGGGTTACTCATGAATCAGTTTGGACTGGGAGTAAGATATTTCTAGTGATTAAAGCAGTCTGTTTCTAGCCCGCCACCCAGTGTGGCAGCAAGGATGGGATTCAGAAAGCATCTGCATAAACTAAAGACGATGAATATTGCTGAAGTGTTTTTGTCAGGTTGGTGACAGGGACAGAGGACCTTATTATCCTGCAGAAATTTTGATTCCTAGAGCCTATATTCCTGAAACTGTTAGGGAGGGTGCCTTGCGGGCAGCTAACTGATCAGACAGTTTCACTTTTCACTTCTCTGTAAAAGGGAATGGAATCTCTTTCGCTTAACAGAAAGAGGAGCTGATGAGACACAGCATGATGATTTAGGGCTCAGCTCTGAGAGCTGTATGTTTCAACTGGAATCTTTTCTTAGCAACGCTTGCGTGATCAGCCCTTTTCCCCTAAAGAAAACAATGCCAATTGAGAGAGATTCACTGAGGGAAATGAGTGAATTGTAGGAAAAAATCCTACAGGGAAGGTCATGGCTATTTATTTCTGATTGGGGCCTCAAGTAATGACTTTGAATTAACATCTGTGATTGCTATAGCAGTAAGAAGACATTGATGCACAATAATGCAAAAAACACTTGATGGTGATGAGGGCTGTGACGGAAATAATGGGGTTTTGACACATAGAAAAATACAACATGTCTTTTTCTGCTAAGGGGTCATTTGCATGTTCAAGGTGAATGGTGTTACTGGAGGGAATTAGGGCATCTGTTCAGTCTACAACTGTTGCTGTTAAGATTCATGTCTCATCAATACTGAAGTCCTAATGTACTGTTGTTGATACACAGAGCAGGTAGTTTGGTCTGGAGTGGAGAATATGTGGTACAAACTGTTTTCTCTTTACCTTTGCAGTGTACCCTTGAACAAGGTTTCTGTTCAGTAGCACTAATTTCTCCATTAAACTAAAGCCCAGACTCTCCTGCTTTGCACACAAGTAACCGAGTAGCATGTGTTGTGCAGTGGGAGGCAGGGCAGAGGCTGGAGCAGAAGTGTTCGAACAAGCCCAGCACAGTAGGTGGCAGAAGGCACAAGCACAGCAGCTAACTTGGCCTGCCTGAAGATGGTGGGAAATTTCCAGCTGAAACGGCTTTAATGATTAAATGAGGTGTCTGGAAAGTTTTGCACAACGTGAGCTTGATGGACTTCAGGACGTATTGCAAAAGCCATTTATTTGATGGTTTGAGTAGCTGTGCTGCAAGGCTTTACAGGAGGAAGGACAGGTTCTTCCTTTGGAGTTTTGATGCGAGCTGGGAGCGAGGTTGTGGAGGAGTCTGCATTTTCCACTGCCTTTTAGTTTGTGTTAAACTGCCCTCCCTTTCAGGACTCAGCTCTTGCGAGGTATTATGAGCTATAGAACTTGAATTAAGAACACATCTTTTGGCCTAATGAAGAAAAGACCTGAAAAGTTGGGGGCAAGTGGTGAACTAAGGGCACTTTGTTTTCTTGACTGGTTGAGTTAATCCACTATTTATATATAATTATGTTTTGCTGCTGGATGGTTATCATTTGTACCTGTGAGCCAAAGTATCTCTGGGGCACTCTGGAGTTCTTCATATAGGGACTTAATTATTTAAGTGATTACCTCTTCTAAAATATTTTAGTTGCTTCCAGGGGTTGACACAGGTTTCTGCATGATGGTATGCTATGTGCTAGAAACCAGTTTAAAATGCCAGAATTCACAATGTTTAAGGCTTCTGGACTGTCAAGCAGGGGTTTTCACAGTTCCTGTGCAATTACTGCCCTTTTCCCTAAGTTTGAAAGCATGCTGTGGAAATGACTGCAACTAGTATAGCTGTGATATTGACCTAGAGAATTTGTGTGTGTACTTACAAGCAGACCACGGGTAAGTTGGTGAATCCCAGACACATTCACACACATGCCCGTATCTGTTTTGAGGAAAAAAGTAAAAGCACGGGACTTTGGGGGGTTGGGGGTTCTGGTTTGTGGTGGGCTTTTTTTCCCCTCCACATGTGTTTAACGTCTGCTTCTAAAGTCATTTACGTAGTTCTGCGCTGCAGTCGTTCAGCAGCGGGCCTGTTAATGCATACAACGTGCCCTTCCAGCAAAGCCTTTAAGATGTTTTCACTGTAGCATACAGCTGCCTTGGAAAGATTTAAACTGCACCAAAAATTAAAGGATTTTTTCCAGTTCACCTGGAGGGGAAAAATGAGCATGACTTTCTTGACAGGAGATGAAAGAAGTAGAGAAAAAATATTTTTTGGGCTACACATCAGAGCACTTATTTACAGTAGTTCTCATCATGGTATTTAACCTGCCCTCTGTTGAATCTTCATTTTTCATGTATCAGGCACATACAGCATAGAGCTCTACTGAGCAGAAAATGCAGTTTGTTCATATATTTTTCAAAAATAAGATTTAGAGGAATTGAAATGGGAAACAGCAACAAATATTTTTACATGCTTTTTTCATTGTGAAAGAAACCGTTGCTTATTCTAGTAAAATAATTTTTACTTTAAACCTCAGCCTGTGCATCAATCAATGTTAGACATTTATTAAAAAAAAAAAAATTAAGACTCAGCAATTTATTCTTCAAAAGTTTTTTTTGTTCCGCGCCTCATCTAGGTAAATGTGTCCTGCTTTACAGATGAAGGCAGTCATGCAAAGGTGTCTGTTGCAAATGTCTTATTTTCAGTATCTCTCACTGATTTTCTGTGATTCCTTGTGCTGCAAGTTAAGCCAGGTTTATCTGCATTGGTGCAAGCCACGGATTGTAGAGGAGGTTGGACACAATATCTGCACCAAAGTAGTAATTATAGCTCAGGAGAGTTGGCATCCAATTGTTTGAGGAAGTAAGCGGACGCACCATAAAACACCGATTGTTTTAAATGAGAGGATCTCCTGTGGACATAAATAAATCCACTGTAACTAGCCAGTTCACTTCTGACTCCTGTTAAATTCTGTATTATAAAAGCACAGTGATGCCGTTTTCTTACTTTGCTGTCATGCAAACAATGGAGTGAAGTTCAGTGGAGAACGTAGGCTTTGTTGCCCTAGCCTGGGCGCGTCTCTGTGGGAATGGAAGTGACTGAATCTCCCTCGCAGAGCTGCAGGCTGATGTAAAATGTCATCTCGCTTGGGAGCTGTTGCTGGTTTTCTTTCTGTTTTTTATTTGGAAAATTCTCAATATTCCAGTGAGTCCCAGAGGCACAGACTTAGGATTTTGTAATAGGGAAAAAGAGGAACGCCTCTCAAGACTCAGCAAAAAGCTGAAGTGTTTCTGTGAGTCTCTATTTAAAACAGTACCAACTGCTACTGTGAGGGGTTTTTTTAGGTATCTCAAAGCCTAGCTCTGAAGCTAATAGTGTGTTGGTAAATAAAGGAGTAGGTGAAATTATTTTATGATGTATCTGGGAAGTGGGGAAAACTTCTGCGCCAGATTGAAGGTGGCTAAACTCCCTTGCCCTCGGCACAGCTCTGACAGCAGCACAAAGGGAACTATAAGCGAGTTACTTCGGGTTTTGAGTAACAGAAGGAATTGGATATTAGAGATGAGATTTTCTGTAGTTTGAGTGGAAGAGGGAGGAGATTCTCACTTCACAGGCATCCAGTGCAGCTCACCATTGCTTTTTAAACCCAAGGGTGTTGAATGGGAAAAGCTGTTAAAAGAAACACTCAAGATGGAGATAAACGCGTGGAACTACAGACTTCCATAGCTGATCCAGTCATACCAACCCTTTTAAAGGTCAGTAAAGAGAAACAGGCACTTCTGCAGGGTAATCTTTTTTCTTATCTCTGTTGCACGGCCACCTTAGGATGAAGTGAATTATACCCTGGAAGTGACTGTTACTCTTCTTTGAATGTAGAACGAGTCTAGATAACCAGCTCAGACCAGATCTTTACAGTAAAGGAATCCACAACTTGGATGAAGTCATCCCACCATCAGGCATTTGAACTAGGAAAGAGGAGGAGACTCCTGGAAAGTGTTTTCCCTTCTTGTGGAGTATGGGATGGGGCTGAGATTATATGCAGGCCTGGAGCTTGGTGCTGTTTTAATGGCAGAATGGTGGCACAGATTTCTGCCAGCCTGACAGACACACTTGCTGGTAGGCAAGGATTCTTTTCAACCTGTGGATAAGGCTTGAACAGCCTTGGTTTATGCCCCAGTTACACTTCTGAAAGTTGTCACTTGTCACCTCCGTGTTTTCAGCTGTAGTATTGATTTTGTTAAGAAGTTCCCATTGTTCTGCCTCCGAGAAACAGGATCGAAAACAAACGCAAGAGTGTTCCAAAGAGTTCCTGTTTCATCTGAAAATGGGATTACAAAAAAATTCTGTTTTGGTAGTAGGTGATAGATGAGCCACAGCTTACTACAACGAGGAATCTCTGATAGATCACCGGAGCTGGCCATTAGAAAAAGCACAGTTGGGACAGAGTTTTAATGACGAAATTTTTCTTCCAGAAATGGCAGTGTGTGGAAGATGCCAGTGGAAAGCTCAAGCTACACAAGTGCAAGGGAATGGCGAACTTGGCAGCTGCAGGCAACAGCAAAGGCACCTCCAATATTTTGCCCAAGTATTACAACAGGAATAGTGAAGACTGTAACTGTGAAGAGAACGAATACAAGCTGAGCCATGTCGGTCGGAGAAAAAAACTCTTCTCCAAGAAAAGTAAGTGAATCCACTGTACCTTCTGTCTCTGCCTTAGAAGACTGTTAGTAGTTTGTTCATTAACACATAAGTCGCCCTGATTTTCATGGGCGTTGAATTCTATCAGCATATTTACTGTGCATCTGACTGTGAAACAGTGTGCCTTGTATTGGACAGTCAGATTTGAAAATATCTTTGTCTGTGGGAAGAGTGTTTTGATCCAAAATAGGGTCCTATATTTATGTCTTTCAAAACTGGGAAATGCAGTGCACGCACTGAAGTGGCAAGTAGCACATCCTTACGTAGGCCATGAAACACAGTGTTTTACAGCAAATACTCCAGTTTTCAGTAGGTACTGTAATGCTTGGAGCCGTTACTGCAGTAATTTATTTTTAATAAGGATGCATGTACTTTGTTACAGAAGCTGTTTGCTTCTAACATCCTTTCCTTGTGCTCAGTCAGCAGAGACAAGGCTGACTTTTAACCAGAGATCGTGTCCAAAGGGGATGACTCTGTTTCTAGTTTCCTTGGCACAGATCAGGTGCTTTTTCAGAAAGCCCATTCCACAGGCTCTGTATTAAACCTTAGTCAGACTAACATCTATATTTGAAGTACGTAGTCTAATTATAGATTAAAGAGGCAAACGGCAGCACAGAATTATTATTCACTTGTAATGTTTCTTTCGTCTCACTCCACAAATACAGAGCCTTAATTATTTAGCAGATTAGTCTTTCTGTATAATGACCTGGCACAAGCTTCAAACAGAGAGTTTAAATTGATTTTCGCCCATTATATTTGCCTTGCAAGCTGATTAGTACCTACTAAGCTAATTTTTAGTTGAAAAAAATTATTGGTTCCAGGATGAAATTACTCAACTATACTTGCTGTTTAAATATGTGGCACAGCAGATAATCTTTAAATAACACTAGAACTTGCAGTTCAATTACCTTCCCCCCCACCCCCCGAAGTCACACAGAAGAAAGTTCAGTCACGGGGAGTCAAATAACAGGAGTAGATCGAAGGCACTTAAAAGAGAAGAGGAAAACAATTAGGTGAGGGCAACAGAATGCTATCTGATAATACTTAACAGTTACTTAAGTACTGTTCATCTGTGTTGAGCTACCTAAACATTAACTAATTTTCACAACATCCAGAGGAGGTGGTTAAGTGTATAATTACGCATGAAGGAGATTGGGGTAAAAAAAGTGAAGTTGCTCCCTCTGGCAGAGGGATCAGAATGATGTTTTTCCCCCCTACGTTCTGCTCAGAAGAGGCAGAGTTTATGCTGTAGCCTTCAGCTCACTTGCCTCACTGAACCCAAAGGCATAAACTTTAGCAGCGTAAGATAGGATCTTGACAATCATGTTCCCATTGCGAGTGTCTTGAGTAAAATGTTTGACTCCGTAGATGCTTTGTTTTTCCCTCTGCCCACATCCGGGTGTGCCATACAGTGGAAGAGGTTCGCCTGGACCTGTTGACATAGTCTTTGATTTGGTGTTGGCTATTTTTTCACATGCACTTATCTAATAAATCACACACTGAACGCAAATGAGCACAAAGCAATACAAGTCAAGGTAACATACCAAGGTTTTTCTAACCAGCTTACCTAGAAAGCTGGCTCACTGCATTGTGAATGGTAAGAGGGTGACCTGAATACTGATGATGTGTATTTGGATTTTTATCACCTGTGTCATGAGACTTGGGGATAAAGTGCAGTCTGTGCTGGATTGCATAGCTCTGAGGGCATCTTTGGGGTCTGCTACTCAGAATTTGGTGAGTGCATGGGATGATACTGCAGCCCTACTTGAATGCCAGTAAATGCTATGCTAACAATAGCTAAATAGAAGTTTCAAACTGGACTAGGGTCACGTCCACATTAATGCTTTAGTTCACGGCAATGGTGTAGTTTTGAAGGAAACACCCTCATCACCCCCTTCCGTCATGCACCACAGAGATGGGTTTGCAGAGAGCAGTTTTGACGGATTCTCATCTGCGGTCATTTGCAGAAAACTAAATTGGATGCCGTGCTTCTGGGGTGCAAACGCTAATGGGGGTGTGAGGATTGGTCTTTCAGAAAGATTAAAACCAGTCATGTGTGGTGAGAACATGTGGTCTCAAAGACCAGATTAAATTGCTGATAGAGGGGCTGGAGCACCAAGTGTTTTGATAAAATAATGACTTTCTAATGCAGGCATGGTCTAGACCCATTGTCAGGTGCACCGTTGCATTTAGCAGGCAAAATTTTTTTCTAAATTGAGTAAATTCAGATGCAAAACAGGGTCTTGTCATATACGTGCTATTTGGGCCATGTACAAATAGACAACTCACCTGTGAAGCTTTTACATGCTAGAAACGCATCAGCGTTAATGTTTGGGTGTCAGGAATGTTTGCATTTCTGTGTCCTCTTTATTTTCTTCAGTATGTTTTTATTTTTATAAGAAAGATGAAACAAAGCTTTGCAGTAGGAAGAAAGTTTAAAGTAATAGTGAGCTCTTAAAATCTTTGGCTGTGTTGTGGTCTGTTATGTTTTGCTTGCTGTGGATTTGATCTCCTCCTCCTGTGATGAACAAGTGCATGTGATTAAAGGAGTTATTAAGCTGCACGTAGAGAAATGATGATAGGCCACACAGATTTGTAAGCAACAAACAGAAGTGTGTACGAAGGGGCTAGAGCATTTTTATTCCAATTTTCGTGTCGTTATCGTGTCGTTAGTTTTTCTTTTGAGGTATTCTCAATGCTGAAGCAAAATGACCTCCTTTGTTACTAGGAAAAAAAAAAAAAAACAAACCTGAACATCAGCTACTTTAAAGATAATGCATTTGAAATGTAATTTTTAATGGCAGTTGCGAGAAACTGGATGTGAAAAAGTTTTTTGGATTGAGTTTTTTTCCTCTTTGATGTATCGAAGGACACAGATTCAAAATAAGATTTCTAGAAATCCCTAGGTGCCTAATGCCCAAGAAAAAAACACCTGTAAACCTTCATCTGTATTTCTAGACACTTGAGATATTTTAAAAAAAATTTACTTCAGAGTGCTTAATTTTCCTTTGGTCTTATAGAAAAAAATGCTTCTCTACAAAATTCTGGAGAATAGATAGACATTATTGGGAAATGTCAAGCGGGAATTCATGAGGCTAGCGGCGGATATTTTCCTTGTGACACGTGTAGGAGCAGAATCCTTGCATACTGGCTTACTCTGTTCTCATTGTGATGCTGGAAAATACATCAGATCCAAAATACCTCCATAAAATGTCAACAGGGAGGACCAAGAG